AAGGTGGACTTTAGCTCATCTCACCTTAATGATGATGATCATGGTTCTTATCGCTATGCATTCGTCAAGTTTCAGCTAGGAGACCCTTCCCTGGCCTCAGAGAGACGGCCGAGTAAGCTCTCTTGTTCTTGCTCTCAAGTGTTCTGATTAAGGATATAGTAATCACAAGATTCACACACTGACACACAGAGAAGGATAGATGGACAATAAGCTTGGGAAAATAGACATTCTACCTCAGTATCATCAAGAATCAAAGAATTATTTTCCACCTAACAGATTGTGAAAAACCAGAAAGGATCAATAATGCCATGGGGTGGTCTAGACTTAGTGAAAACTTAGTTGCTAAAATGTGAACTGGTAGCTTTTCATTGTAATAATCTGTTCTCTGAAACTCCCCACAAGAATGTGGACCTCTAAAATGTCACCACAATAAGGGTGCTTAATAAAGATGTTGCTCCCCAAGGAAAGGTTGAATGGAGGAGACAAGAGAATCCCAGGTTCTTGGATTTCATTCAAGAAGACTGGGTAGTACACCACCCCAGTGAACGTTCCCAGATTCTTTATGTATAGAAAACTGTCTGTAAAGAAATATGAGTTGAATTAGTTTTTTGAATGTTGAAATACATAAGGAACAAACAAAAACAAAGTAATTCTAGATAATCTGAGTTGACATTTTAACGATGCACCTTTTAATATATCGTGCATAGTTAGGAATAAAACTGTTCAAGGAAGCACAAAATAACATGAAAAGACCTTTTGCTTTCTATTCCAGTCCCTTAGCAGAAAGATTTTTGGTTATGTTTTTGAAGACTTCAAGTGTTAGAATGGTATAAACATAGCGCTGCTCTACTTTTGTAGAGCACTTTATTTTCTATCTAAATCACATTGAACTGTATCCCTGGACACTATATATCCTCTAAACCATCATGTTAATATGGCACAGGGTATGGTAACATGGTAAAACTGGACAGACCTTTGATAACATATGGCTTCATTCTCTCATTATGGAAAGGAAGTGAGTTTAGAGACAGAGTTTGCATAACTAGCCTAGTAATCAGGAGAGACACTAATAAAACCCAAAGCTTCTCCTTTTCCATTCATAATGAAACTTTACTCCCAATTCAAGAAAAAAATATACAGGAATTAACTAAAAATCTATATCTTAAACTTAATGACAGTTTACCTCTGATTATTTGGCTTCTACAGGCTTTTAGATAAAAAATTTTACTTCCTAATATTTTTGCAGTGATAGTGTTAGAACTATTCAGGCAAAAAGATCCATGTTTTCACCAGGTGTTTCACATGAGCCTGACAACTGTTTTTAAACATTGCTAGCCCTTTAAGCTCCTATCCTAACATAATATGTGTTTGTGTACCCCATTACAAATAGAAAGAGGAATATTCTCTAAATATTAGACTCAGTGAGAATTTCCTTAGCAAGATCCCACACTCACATGCCCAGGACTGTTAATCAAAGGAGATAGCAGTTCTTTTATATAAGCAATATTATATTTGAGATGCAAATGTTGTGTTCTTTGGATCTCCATGCCATCGACAAGAGCATCATTATCTTGACAGAGTAAAGGACTTGGGGGATGGTGTTGCAGGAGCAAAAAAATACAGCACAATGCTCAAATAAATTTTAAAGAATGCTGAGTGAAACATAATGCAAATACTCCTTACAATGGAGGTAGGAAATAGAATTAATTGGCAAAATAAACATATGCAGATAAATTAATAAATTCAATCTGCATTCTTTGGGGCTTTATATTTTGAGAAAACAGAGGAACTGTTAGGCATTTCACAAAAGAAAAAATCCACATGATTCATTAAAATAAAAGATTACCTAATAATCAGATTTTCAAAATGGATAATAATGATGATATCTAATGTGGTCAAAGAGAGAAAATGGAGACTTCCATACATTGTTTCTAGAGGTGCAAATTGGTCCAATTTTCTGGAAGGCAATTTGGCTTGTCTATTAACATTGCTAAATGTGCATGCCCTTTGATCCGTCAAGTCCAATACTAGAATCTATCCCAAGGAATTAATTGAAAAGCACATCAAAAAATCTAAGTGAAAGGATGTTTACCGCATTGCTTATAACAACAAACAGCTGGAATGTGTCCTAAATGTCTATCAATACAATACTGGTCATTTATTTAATGAATATACAGTCATTATAAAGAATGATGGCGATTATTTGCACTGATAGAGAAAGATGTTAATGATATATAATTTTTTAAGAGGAAAGAAAAGTAGAAAATAAACTACAAAAATGTGTTTAGAACTTCTAAAAATGTGTGCAGTATAGATATGTAGATAATAGTTACACATTTCGCTTGGCAGGGATACGTTCATGTACTGCTTTATATAATTTTGCATTATTAAAAATTTTATAAAGAGATTTTTGTCATATTCCTATATCAGCAAAAATAATAAAGATTCTAATTTTGGTGGGAAAAGGTCATATACATAAATGTCATTTTAAAATTAATTTAATTAATATTTAATAAAAATAACCAATAATTTAAGTGGCAGTTAAGTCTCAATTTTTTTAATTCTGGAAAGGCATATCAAGATCCATGAAACCGTGATTTTTTTTTCTTTTCCATTTTATATAATGTTAACATTAAGCTGTCTATAAGCTGTTTTTGATGGGTTATAGGTACACTAAGAATGCACTGGCTACATAAGCTTAGAAACTCTGGGTTCAGAGTTCCTTCATTTGATAATCTATAATACATTCTACACTGAAATAGGGGAGGTTATTTTCTAGTAATAGCTAGGACTTATGGAATCTTGCCATGACAGCTACTGGTCTAAGTGCTTTAAGAGTATTGACCATCTGGCCCTCACTATAACCCTAAGTAATAGGTGCTAATGCTAATGTTATCTCCCTGGTGGCTTGGGGGTTGAGTTTCAGTGCTGTCACTTCCATGGCCTGAGTTCTATCCCCACCGAGGGAGCTAACGCACACATGGCACAGCAGACCTCTCCTGTCTCACCAGCTGTTCCCCTTAGCGTATTTCAGTAAATCCACCTGTCTGCTCTCCACTCTGTGTCTGATGAATCCTGTCAACCCCTGCACCTCTGGTTTATACCGCAGTTCTTCTACGCAAAAGTGAAAAAAAAGAAAAAGAATTATATCTTTAAAAAAAAAAATCTTTCTTTTATGATAAGAAATCTCAGATAACAAAAGTTAGGTCCAATATTGCAGAGCTACTTGGTAGCAGCAAAACCTACTAAGAAATCTAATACCTGAGCCTAACACTAATATTTTTCTTCAGAAATACTTGAGATTCCTTGTTTGATTTATGCTTTCACTAGGGGCAACAACAACAACAACAAAACGTTACCTCTATAAAGATATTTTCTGGAAATTATATAAATCAAGAGGCTTCTGAGAAGCTTCTCTTATTCACATTTAGCTAAAAACAGCATGAGAGTTAAATGCTGCTCATTTAGAATAAATCAAACCCAACCTCAGAAGAGAAAACCTGAAGAAACTCACCTTCCAGACATGGGGATGAAACATGTCCGCACTGTGGTGTAACCTGGGGGCAGACTCAGGGTGATGCTGCCGGCTGAGGGTCAACTGGTATGGTGCCTGGGGCTGAAGCCTGGGGAGGCTGTGTTAACAGAGTGGACATGGTCTGCTTGAGAGGACAGATGAAAAATTCAGGAAAGTGGAGATATAGGACATGGTTCTTAAAAGACTGACATTTTTTGAAAGTTGTATTGTTATATTTTGAATATAAAAATACTTATTGTAGAAAATTCAAGAAGTATGGAAAATCATAGAAACTAGAATAGAAATCATCACATCAGAAACAATCACACTAGAGGGTGTTTGTTACTAGTTGGGTATAATTTTAACAGGTAGTGATCAAAGAGGGAACACTTTGGGAGCACAATGCAGGGAAGTGGGAAAGACAGGATTATATTCATGGACTATCTAAATAACTGGAACTAAAAATAGTTGAAGGTAAATCTGAAAGAATAGACTAGAAGATTTGATTGTATAAGGCTTTAAAAGGAGGGTAAGGGTGAGCAGTGCAGAGCTATTGAAGGTGTTAATGCAAAGATGGTGGTAGTATCAGGAAAAGTTAATAGTGTAGTAGGATAATTTAGTCATGTGTATCATCCTTAACTAAAGAGGAAATAATAACTAGAAAGGGGAAATACAGGACATATAATTATAGAGATAGTAAAATCTTGCCCATCTTGTCTAAAGTGACAGTGTCACTGTGTGTGCAATTTTTATTCTTTCATTCTCTTTCTCTTGTTTTGGTAGAGCAGAATGTTGTAAGGCTTTATTTTTATTTTTTTTAAAGATTTATTTATTTATTTATTTATTTATACAAGCACTGGGTACAGTCAGAAGTGCGGGAGGGTGAGAGAATTCACCAGAGCCAGAGCAGGTAGCAGAACAGGCAGAAGGACTGAAGTACACTGCTGAAGGGAGCAGTGGGCAGCAGGAGAGGTCTGCACACCATGTGGGACCCTCGCCTGGTGGCCGGGGATCAAACCAGCGCTGCAGAGGCTGCAGCTTCGCAACACAGTGCTCAACCACTGTGCCACTGGGGAGGCCCTGTTGTAAGGTTTTAAATTATCAATTGTGATAATTCTGTTAGAGTTGTTGACTCTATCTAGAAAATGGAAGTCATTCTATTTTCTAAAATATATAACACAAATAATCAGTTTCCTTCACAAACTTAGACATTTCATGCAAAAGATGAAATTTTTATAAGGGTTTGAACAAGGATGCTCATTAATTTAATTTGTTTAAAATAAGTGATTTATAAGGATTTATCATATGTAAATATTTTCTTGACTTTAATTGTTGCATTCTCAGCAGTTTACATCATATCACTTATAAATTATGACTTAGAAATAACAGAAAAATCAGCAAGTCATTTCTGTTTAAACATTTAGTACTGCTCCTATATACATTTAGTAGATTACCTTAGTTTGCTTTGCATTTTAAGATATTGTGTGTTAATTTTTTCCATGGTGATGACATTATAATTCCTGTTGAAGATAAAAAGAAGAAATTTAAGAGAAGTTAGAAGAGTCATTTTCATAGGAAAACTGGCTTCTTTGCCCAGATCTGACATTAAGAAATATATGACCTTGTGCTTCATTTTTCTCATTTCTGATGGAGATATAAATGTTTAAAAAAATGTAGAAGTTGAAGGAGTTGCAGAAATTGAAGAACTGAAGTCACCATCTGGATGTATGTTTATATATATATATTTTTTCTAGGAGTTTCTTAAATCTATTATGTAGTATAAATGCAGAAAATGTTTCCTGCTAAATGCTGTAGGATAGGCTTTTGCAGTGAACACTGCAGGCATCCTTCCAGATCCCATCCCTTCTACCACTGCCACCTACTGCCTTTGTTGCCAGTCAATGGTTAGTGAAAAAGCAGAATAGCCTAGTTCTTGCCATAGGTGGGGACCATCCTGAGGTCCCTTCTATATTTCAGTGCTCACTATGCGATCTACCTGCAGTGACCCCTCTTAGTCTCTTTTCTACTTGCATGGATCTACAGCTCACTGTTCCACACCACCTTTTCCTGGGAGCATCCAATATTCTCTTGTACATGAATTCTTTCCTCAGTGTCTAATTCTGGAAAACCCAACACAAGTCCATAGAAATGCATGAAAAGTAAGATTCAGTAAGAGCTTGCATGTACTTTTCCAAAAATACTGTCATGTCAATTTAAGAAGAGAAAAAAAAAACATGATTCATCCTTTTCATAACAATAGTAGCTACCATTTATTGAAATCTTACCTATAATTATCATTGTTCCAGTATCTGTAAATATTTTTTGTTTTTTAGTTCTCACCACAATCTATGATGGAATATTTTCTTTATTTTTTCAGATGGTTACAGTGTAGCTCTAAGATTACATGATTTTGCAAATATCTGAACCAGGATTCAAACTCAGATCTGAACCAGGATTCAACCCCGATTTAATCTGGCACCAGAAACTAAATTCTACTTCACCTTATTGTTCTGTTCTTCTGTGAGCATGTCCTGCACTCTAGTGTTGACTTCCTGTTGATTTTATTCTAACATTGACAGGAAATAGTAAGGTGGTATTTATCAAATAATTTTCTTCTTTATTTTATTGAGGCTACTTGGTTTATAATATTATATATGACTTAGAGGTACAGGGTTGCACACTTGGGATGTGTGTTAACACACCACACCCACCACCAAATTCATCAAAGAATTTATTTGCAAATATTAACCAAACCATTCCAATTATTTCAAAGGGTTAAAAAGTTAGGTTTCTCAAATCTTGTATTTTAAGAATCCTAAGATTTGGCAGGTTCTGGCTGTCATAGGGCTTCCCATTAAAGAAGTCATCAGCAACTTGTTTGACCAGCCAGTGCAGAAAAAACAGCAATAAACCATTATGTAAGCTCAGAGTCTAGACAGAACTATTATGCTCAAAACCCATGGCTCACACATAGCTACTTAGATTGTTTAGATAATAACTCTAGCCAACCATTTTTCGGTGGTGGTCTTTTCTGGTTTCTAAAGACTGATCAACTTTATTAGACTCCAATTATAGCATCTTATCATGAAGCTCAGTCAATTACAAAGTTGTATCTTTTATCTGTCACAACTGTGAATGTCCACACAAATCTGGCACAAGTTGGAGCCATTTTGCACTTTGTGGTCAGACACAACAACACATAATTCATATAAATGTTTGACACTGAAAGCAGCATAATTCAAGTGGATGGCACTGTATGTGTCTGGTCTCACAAAATAAAAATCTCATCTTCGCATCCTGTGAACTCTTCTTTTTAACCCTATGTAAGCAAATGCTTTGCAACCATGGGCTAGTTCTATACTTGGTGCCCCACCCTGAGAATTTTCTGTTTCACCTTACTAATTACTTGGGTGAAGAAACTCAATTTAAGAATAGATGCTAAGCGCCTCCCCGGTGGCACAGTGGTTGAGCACTGGGCTGCAAAGCTGCCCGCAGCCTCTGCAGCACTGGTTCGATCCCCAGCCACTGGGCGAGGGTCACACATGGCGCAACAGACCTCTCCTGTTGCCCCACTGCTCCCCTCAGTAGTGTACTTCATCTGTCGTCGTTCTGCTCCCTGCTCTGGCTCTGGTGAATTCTCTCACCCTCCCACGCTTCTGACTGTACCCAGTGCTTGTATAAATAAATAAATAAATAAATAAATAAATAAATAAATAAATAAATAAATCTTTACAAAAAATAGATGCTAATGAACTCGAATGAAAGGATGACTTATAAAAGACAGAAAGTTGAATGGTATTTCTGCAACTGCAGATTACTTTGGCATCAGAAGTGATTCATTGCCAATTGTCTCTGTAAACATGGAAAGTAATTGGATGCCATCATGGATTGAATTATACCCACCCTTCCCCTCCAAAAAAGATACTGAGATTCTAACCTCTAGCACTTGCATATGTGACCTTATATGGCAGTAGGGTTCTTATAGATGATCAGGTTAAGCTGAGTTCATTAGAGTGGACCTAATGGAATTGTGCCCTTATAAAAAAGGAAAAAAAATTAGACACAGAGATAAACACACACAAGGGAAAGTTCCATAGGAAGATGAAGGCAGAGAGCAGAGTGATGTGCCTAAATGTTAAGGAAAATCAAAGATCATCAGCAAATCACTAAGACCTAGGAGAGAGGCATGGAACACTTTCTAGGGTCTAGGCTGTCATGCAAACGTTGTCTCCGAGGCACTAGAAAAATCTGGAGTGGAGGATCCACGTGCTAGTTAAAGTATTGCAATTTTATTGCTGACAATAGGGGCAGCGTATTCCAAGGAACCAGGTCTCATGCTCTACCCATGAAGGAATTGAACCATAAATTAACCATTTTAAAAATTTCCAACAGACCTTACTGATGGGAAAAAATTCTTTGCTGACTCTGCATAAACCATCCCATTTCATCAGTGAAAATTAAATGACTTTGTATTTGGGGTTGGCAAGCTTGAGTTGGCAGAGCAACCAGGAAAGATGAGGAAGATCCAACAATCGAGACCAAGAGAATAGTAACTAATGAAACATTATCTCAGTTTATCTCCTCCCCTTACTTACTTTTCATTATTCCTACCTTTATCACTATGCTTTTGCAATCACTGAGTTGTCACTGAACTTGCCTTATGATTTTTTTCACTTTATTCTCGGTATTCTTATGAGAAAATCCACAAGTGTGGCAAAATATTTTGAAACAGTATACATGGTTTTACTTGGGTAAAGTGCATACGGCACTGTGTGTGTATGGCGGTGTGTGTGTGTGTGTGTGTGTGATTTTATTCCAGCTTCTCCGCTTTAGGTCATCTTTTTGAAAGTGTCTTATTGCAGCATTAATTTAAAAATGTATTTTTTATTTTATCTTGTGCTTTTATGGGAAAGGAATTTTTCAAAAAGCTAGCTATACCAAAAAGCATAAAGATTGAGCAAAACAGAATCCCTCAGCTAATGGTTAGGCTATAATCAAAGAAATGTTGTATGGAACTTCATGTTTCCATTCCTTTACATTTATAGAAAAATTGAAAGCAACTCCTTTTTCATTATCAACTTCAAGTTGCAAACAAGCAGATTAAAAAATGTGGGGAAGCCATTACTGTCTGGGAGAATTCATGTTTCTCATGTAGAGGTGACATAAGAACTATATCCTGAGCGTTCTTGGAAAGAAGCCACTTATCTTTCCCAGGGCTCTGGTGGGGTTTCCTGAACTCTCCTGGCAGCAACAACTATTGCTTATGGGACCTTGCCAAGATGCCCGGGGGCTGGGAGCTCCCCCTTGGATGGCTGCTCTGTCTGGCTCTCTCCTTGGTGCTGGCTGCTTCCAAGGAGTTTGCATTTCAGGACCTTTCTTCAGCAAGGGAAGCTGCATAAAGGCCACCCTGCACAACCCTTGCTTTTGTTACCTTGATCTGACCTACCTCCCTACAAAGCTTTTCTAAACTATGTCGTCTTGCAGCAACTACTTTCTTCTGCCCTTTTTTTGGCACTTTGATTTTGCTTGACTTTGGTATTTAAGTTGCAGTTTAATTTCTACTCAGTTTGCAAAAGTCACTCTTGAGTAGAATTTGCACAGTTCCTTATACCTATAGCACCTGGTATGTAGTCAGTCCTTGAAAAATAGTTTGCTAATAATGGTGTTTCCTTGTCTACTTCTTCCCAGGAAGCAACACATAGTTTTCATACCTGAAGAAGTGTGAACCTATTCCCCAAATTCACATTCATTTAAAAATCATGGGAAAATAATTTTTTTTTACAGATTCAATAATAACAATCTCTATTTCACCATGGAGAACATGTGTAAAGTTTCTTTTTTTTAATTGGGTGCATTGTATATGATTCCAAATGTATATGACATTCCTTAGGTGTATGTTACCACACCACACCCACCACCAAGGCATCTACAGTCCTCCACCATAGTTCGTTGGTTCCCCTGGCCACTCTGCTCTCCATATTCCCCTTTTGTACCTGGTAGCCTCAATTCTACAAACTCCCAGATTGTGTTTGGTTTAGTCTGACCCTTTGTTTGGTTTCACTCTATTCCACATATAAGTGAAACTACTGGCATTTGTCATTCTCCTGCTGACTTATTTCACTTAGCATAATGCCCTCCAGTTTCATACTGGTTTTGCAAATGGCAAGGTTTCATTTTTTATGGCTGAGTAGTATTCCATTGTGGGTTTGTTTTATTTTTTTTTTTTCCCTTTCCCCAGTTAAGTTAAACTCTGCTAGAAATCACCAGGTTAAGATTTGGTAAAATAGTTTCTTCCTGGGGCAGGCTTTATGAAAGCAGAATGCACTGGCATTTTTCAGAGTCAGCTATTACACTTGCCCCTGCCAGAAGCATCGAGGTCTTTTTCTCTATTATTCGGTAAGAGATCCTGGTGGAACCCTGGACATAAAACTTACTAAATGTGGGGTCCTCTTATCACTGGATCCCTCTTAGACTTATCCACAGGAACATCTGCCCTGCATAGGCTTCCCTCAGCTAAGTG